ATCAGCGTTCCTTGTATTAAATCCATGTCTATGATATGACCGGTGCGATCACATACGCCGTATCATAGATAATTATGAAGAGAAAGCCAATTCGTTTTTGTTTGTATATCTCTCAAGCGACAAGGGACTGTATAATATTGTTGCAACTGACGAGGCCAATTGATTAGTTGAAGCCATCAGGCCGAATCCCCAGGGATGCCATGCGATGCGCATCCGGTCGTTTGAAAGCATTTGCTTGTCTGCGGGATACGAGGTTGATTAAGTCGGCCTTGGGAGAAGAGAAGACAGCAGAAAACGAGGAGAATGATAATGAACTTGACAGATTGCAAATCCGGTTACAGCCCGATAGGCCGATGGTTCGATAGTCTGAAGGTAGTCGATATTCCGAGGGCCCATAGTCCGAAGGGCCCATTAGTCCGAAACCAGAAGAATGTTAAATATAGTCCAAAGGTTCGGTTGTCCGAATCGACAATAAGGTCCGATAGTCCAAATTGACGATACGGTTCGATAGTCCGAATTGACAATAGGAAGTTGTCGATTCGGACTATCGGACCTAATTGTCGACTCGGACTATCGGACCATATTGTCGATTCGGACTATCGGACCATACTGTCGATTCGGAATATCGGACCTTATTGTCGATTCGGACTTATGAACCTTCAGACCAGTGAACCTTATTTTCGTTTTGGACTATTGAACCTTTGGACTGATTAACCTTATTCTAAATTCGGACTACCGAACCTTCGGACTAATGAACCTTCGGACTTAATTAAGAACCTCGGACTATTGCTTCAGATGTTCGGATTCACGAACCTTATTTCATTTTCGGACTAACGAACCCCCTCTTATGGGAATTTTGTGCTTTCGGGCTATCGAACCTTCGGACTAAAGAACCTTCGGATTATCGAACCTTCGGACTATCGGGCGGACCTCGTACAGGTTGGCTTTAATATGTATGGAAGAACTTTATTTATTAAGAACCTTTGTTTGGCAGTGAGCCTCGTTATCAGTTCCAATCATGGCGATGTGTTCAAAGAGCGAATGGTGTTCTCATCGGGGCCGTATCATAAGTCCAACGCCTCATAAGTCCGACGCCTCATGTCCGACAATTAATGATGCTATTTCGGGACTTATGAGGCGTCTGAGCTATGAGGCGTCGGACTTAGGCGGCGTCGGACCTATGAGGAGGAATAAATAAATGTTATGTCTCATAAGTCCGACGCCTCATTAGTCCGACACTAATATGAGGCGTCGGACCTATGAGGCGTCGGACTTATGAGCGGACCCCTTCTCATCGCTACGGATGCCTAATACATACTTCTTTAGCGTCGTGAAAACAGTACAGCCTTAGGGTTTTTTTGCGCTACTTTCATTTCGACATCTATCAGTTTATTAGCAAATATTGGTTGGCAAACTAATTCCTTTGAAACAAGCGTTCATGATATTTACACCCGCAGTGTTTAGGATGTGTTTACTTTATTTTGTACTCACGTTGTGTGTTTTACAATATAATTATGGTGTTGACGTCTATGTGTGTAAATTGTGTGTGACTGTGTGTCCCTGCAGACCTACAGTCAGCACAGTTACAGTGCAAAGAGCAATAATGGGCGTTGGTATGTGTTGTACTGATATTGAACATAATGTATTCTGGGATGCAACAATAATGCAGCAGTATGGTCACAGCAGGACTCATTAGCCCTAACAATCCCGAAAATCCTCACATTTTAAAATGATTTTTTTTCACACACCGTAGTGAGTTAATAATCTATCTAGACACGAACACACGATGTGACTATCGATCACTCAATTTCTTCATGAAACGGGTTACCATGTACCAGCATGTTGACGTTCCATTAGAATGCATAATGAGCTATAGGGTAGTGTTAGGCCAATTACCATTGGCGACAAAGCGGAACCCTAATGATGCCATGAACAGTATCGGATAGCATAGCATACCAGGTGCGGTTCTGGAGTGTCGAAATTGCTATCACTTCCTCAAACATTAATATAAACAAGGTTGAGCTGTGCTTAAGATTTATGGAGCATTACTAATGTTGCTTGCGTTGTGACTTCGAGCGTGATCTCGGCATTGCTATGGCACATGCAGTTTTATGGCCATTGACTATAGACCATTATCGTGTTGCAGCCATTTGTTTTTTTCCCCATTCAAATCAATATAACCAAAGCGAGGCTGGAGGGGAAAATAGTCTGGTTCCTTTTTTGCACAAAAAAACATTATCATACTGTTATTGGATACAGGGAAAATGACTAAAATGGTGGAAGCATGATATAGGTCTATAACCTCCATCGAATACATAAATACGTAACATAATATAAGACATAGCTCAGTTGGTCGAGCGTCGAATAAACAGTGTAGGCAATAATTTACACATTTATCATAATTGAACAATACGTTGTTGGAACACAGAGCTACAAAGGAGTAAGCTGTGAATGACTCATTAGATTCTAGGGTGTACAGGTTCGCGGGTACACCATGGACACATCTCTTAAGTTGTGACGAAGTGTTGGCTCTGAAAAGACTCAAGAGAGCCGTCGGTGAGAATATGATCTCGCATAGATTCTTTTAAAACCGCATTCTGCGTACCTCGCCCCTTCCCCAACTTTGTCATTTGAGATAGACGAATCCTTGAGGCAATCGTGCTTCAGCGTGAACGAGTTGCTGGAAAAATCACAAACGAGTTGAGAGAGGCCTTGGGAGGTAAATGGGAAGGTTTTTTTTTCTTTGAGGGAGCAGACCATCCCCACCCCTGCATATCTCCAATCCAAAACACAAGTCACCTGTTACAGTAGTTCTTGAGCAACTGGCATAAATGGCATCTTCACGTCCGTTAATAAAATGCCACATCTTGCCTATAAATCGCAATCGATTTATACCACAGGAAGGACAAGAAAGCCTCCCAGCACGAGGAAGCCAGTTGCCTCCATCTTTACCCATTCTATATAACTTTTTAACCCGTCGGTATAAGGTTACATTGATTGTAATGCGATACAAAATCCATCGTTGTGAACTTGGGTTGCCTGACCCCATTAGTAATTAAAACACTCGCAGTTCGAGTTTGCCCACAGTGCATGCATCTATAATGACGAGGACGCCCGTCTTCCGAGCATTTTGTAGATGGTTGACCAGTTGTTTTCCGATCCATTTTATTATTACTGAGAAAAGTAGAGATATTCGGATGACCAGCTTTACTCACAATGAATAATGTCCGATACAAAACGCGTGACTTTGCATATCCCAATGCTATTTACTGGAGTTTTATGCAAGCCATTATGGCACATGTGTCGAGTTGACTTTATTATTGATGACTATATTGGAACACCAGCCTTATTTTGACAAACTGCAAGATGTGGCGCCAGTGGAGTTCATGTATTTATACATCAAATCCAATCATTAACCTTGCTGGTACAACAAAAACAAAGAGAGTGAAAACCCCATCAAGTTGATAGGTTTATCATTTTTTTATTTGGAACTTCGGATTGTGGCGCATAACCATCTATGTTTTAATAATATACAGATGGTTACAGAATGCCTTGTCATAACAAGCATGCAATTAGGTAATGAAAATGGTTATCCTCTTTAATACAAATTATCTGTACAACCCTGTGCCATTATACTCGATGGCATCATTCTGTCCTGAAGTATCTTGTCATAATGTCTTTATCAACGTCATTTTTCCTGCAATACATGTTATGTCATTTACAAACTCTCGATCAATGTCCACAATGCCACAAAGGCATAATGAGATGTGACTGTGACTTTGATGAGTTCAGTAAAATTATGCACATGTTGTGTGCAAAATGTGTCACCTTCAATAAAGAAGCGTGTAGGACACAGCAAATGCGATCTAAAAAAATATACTTTGCAAAATCATGAACCTTGTTGCAGACTAATAAAAATATATTATGCAAAACCATGAGCCTTGTTGCAGACTAATATCGGTCGGTGTTTTACCCGAACTTTGACCCGTGACGATCTCTCAACGATTAAATGGCGGATTTGGGGGTCTTTTAATACGGATCATACAATCTGATTCTTAAATATGAAGTATAGGCTCTTTTGGCAACCACCCCCGCCAACAATGGCGTCGTCACAAAAGGTTCGGTGTTTTTAAGCATGCTGAAGCTGCCTGTGAGGAAATAGAAATGATAAAAAACATTACCAACAGCTGTACTAGTTTCATTGTATTAATTACTTTTACAGTGGTTGCCTGGGGGTATCTTTTATATGGTTGAGATAGTAGTCAGTTGTATTCCAGTATTGTGGTCAGCTGACAGCTTTATGCTCCAGTAATGTCAGCGAAGAATTTCAAAAAGATATTTAATTAGAATCGAGCGACCCATTTATTTACAGGCATTTAAACTGGACTAATTTTTACACGAATATCAACATACCACCCGATTGTGCATTACTGTTACGGGCACGCATAATTACACTGTCCTCTACAATGCAGGCGGGTAGCAGCTGACGGCTGTTACCGTTTCAGGGAATGGAAAGTACAACTACCTTTTTAATTAAGTCTGATAACCTTGAAGGGCTAGGTTGTAGCATGGAGGAAGGAATATTATGGTTGTAGCAACCAGTGGCGTATCTAGCTTTTGATGTCGGGGGGGGGGGGCATATTGTTTATTGTTATGCATACTGGAAAATAGATGTCGATTTTGAAGGCGCATTGTCATGGTTTTGGAATTTGGTTGTGTGTTTTTTTGTTCATGTCATAACTCTCTAACCATTTATGGGAATAGTTACTGAAAAAAATCTTACACAAAGATCAGCCGGGGGCAAGGTGCCCCCTGCCCCCCCCCCCCTTGGATACGCCACTGGTAGCAACGCCCTTAGTTATGACATTCAATCGTTCATTTACAAGCGAAAGTACAGATGGGTATTTTGAGCAAGCACAACCTCTGTCATATTTTGATGTATCGCTGATTATAATGCAAACTGGTGATGTTCCACTTTTTGCGTGTTATCTTTCATGCAGATAGCGGCTATATCGACGATGAGGGACTGGACAAATTCTTCCGAGATCTTCTCATGACCACGACTGCCGCTTCGGTGAGTTTCTTCGGTATGATGACGTCACAATGACGTATCTTTTAAACAGGACTAAGAACCTCTCTATACACTCAATGAATCCCACGCAATTTAAAGTTTAAAGTTACATCCCCGTGCTCTTCAACGAATTTGACTTTGTTTCTAATAATGCATTTTAAATTGTTTGTTTCACTCCAATATAGATTACTCCTGAGCTGGTAGAGGATCTCAAGGAATGTTTCATGGAATCTTATGACGATGCCAAAGACGGTAGAATCGCCATTACAGAGGTAACGTTGACAATCTGCATCGATTTTTGGTGTCTTATTGGTACGAAAGTACGATGGGTTGAAGCTGTAGTATGCTGCGAGAGAACCAGAGCCTAACACACGGGTATCCAGATACAAATGCAATTTTTAAATTTTGGTCAAAGACCGAATTATTATTTTTATTATTTTGTGTTTTGAATATAACGACTTTTCCCCCTGAAATGATGATGGTGATTTTTGTCTGTTTTCTCGTGCATATTTTTGTTCATTCATGTAGGCAGGAAAATGTCTTTGTTTCCTTTTATTTAAACGGTAAATGATCATTGGTGGACAGCTGAATTTAGTGATGTTTGTATTATAAACAGACATAACTTGTGAACATAATGTAAGGAAATTACGTGAAAATTTGAGAGTTACTATAGTCAATAATATGTACTTAATCCCTATGTTATTATTTTAATTAAATGGAGGAAGCCACATTTTTGTTGAAAAATTTGTTTATGTATCACGTGTATGTTGTATCAACATCCGTTCGTCCACCCTTCTTTTTTTTTAAACAGGACTCCCGATGCAGCGTAGTATAAACGAGTCCTGTTTATTACGTCACGATTTACTATGTTTTGTTTGCAGCCCCAACGACGACTTTTACCCAAATTGCACGTTCGGGTCGAAACAGGACCTGAAAAACAGCTCTCAAAAGTACCTTTTGTACTCATTTCATGACAGACACAATTGTCGTTTTCATTTCATCACACCTTAGGCTACATATACCCGAAAAATGACGGAAATGTCTTCGAGCATTCCACATCCTCTTTAAGGATAGTGATAAAGTCACAGCAGTCCTTGTCAAGAATCCATCCAACCGAAATACACTCGTTTCTTTTGACCTCAGCTGGCCAACATCCTGCCCACTGATGAGAATTTCATCCTTCTCTTTCGACTGACGGAGAATCTCACGTCTAGCGTGGAACTGATGACGGTAGGTGACCACCCACTCCCTCCCCAAATCAACTCACCCAATCTCATTCTCTCCCCTAATCCACCCAACCAAACCCAATCATTTCGCCCAACCCTATACAGCCATCAACCCCAACCCATCGCATCCGACCTAAATCCGTAACAACCCCCCTCATCACCCACCTCCACACCTGACCTACCTTATTTGCAATGCTGCACTATTATGGAAAAAAAGATGGGCCAGGCCTACTGAGAAAAACGAAAGAGAAAAAAGTGAAAATAAATCTACATTGGACAATGGACAGTCAATTAAAATCGTAAAAATTGTATAGACCATTATCATGTTGTGGCATTTAGACTTTTCCCATTCAAAACAACGTAACCAAACCGAGGCTGGAAGGGAAAATAGTCTGGTTCCTTTTTGCACAAAAACAACATTATCATTCAGTACTGTTATTGGATAAAGGGAGCATGACTGAAATGATGGCAGCATGATAAATGTGTATTACTATCTTATAGCAAACATTTTTTTTATATCATCGTGGTGTGCACTTTATTTCAGCTAAATTAATTATTACAATTTTAAAAAGGTCAAGGGGGTACGGAAAGGACGTCGTCTATTTTATTCAAAATTAATCTAAACATCTTTATTTTTCAGCTTTGGAAGAAATACGACAGGAATAGGAGCGGTTACATTACGAAGGGAGAACTCGGAGTAAGTGCCTTTATGAACCTTGTTATTATTTTGTTTCGAAGATGATTAGAAGAAGTGAGACTGCTTTAAAAGCAGACCGGTCACGTGAGAGGGTTTAACCAATAAAAGGGAAAAAGAGTCCGATTTTCATACGAGTCCGATTTTCATATGACACTGGTTGTATCGTGGTAAAAAAAACAAAACCCATAGGCCTGCATGTACATGTACATATAGCGCAACCGAGCGTACGTATAGTTTCACCCCTGTACACAAATGTTGTATTTGAAAAAAGCCTATTTTTTTTCCAACGACGGTTTAATGACAGCATACCAGGCGCAAATATTTCACAGGATGCTTAGTACTATTGCTCACGTTCAATCAAGTACAGCCTATTTCATATATTTTTGTTGCAATACCTTTGCAGGTATTTGGCAATACCTTTGAGAGCTTTTGGGTAGAGTAAGCCGGGCATCCTTCAAATTTGATCTGGATTCCTCTTCCTGCATAGATGTTGCAAGTAGGACAAACACACCAAAATATGGCAGTCCGCCGCCGACTGTACATAGTTTCTGGATTGAGAGAGGTTGTACGGAGGGTTACGATGTGGTTTCTGGAAATGGGAACTTCGGATGATTTCGTTTGAGAGTTTGTTTGTATTGAACTCCATTGCGTGAAAACACGGGGCATTCCCCCACTTTTGCAAAGTACCCCTCCCCTACCCGTACCTGCAAACTTGACCCAGCTATACGACTCTGTCTCAGTATACAATTATTTCTTGTAGGCTTTCATTGCGGACCTGCTTGCTCAGCATGGCAAGCGCGTGTCAGGGGAGAAGCTTGAAGAATACGTCCAGGGTATGGTAAGTAGCACGTTAAATCGGTTGAACCAGACAAAAATACAAGCAAAGTTGGAACAATTTGCAGAGTAGTGACCACAAACATGCAATCCTCCTCCTTAATAATCCTCCTTGCCACGCCCCAAGTTCTGTTTTATATTCTGCTTATTCCTGTGCGGTATATACTCAAGGAGCTGCGCTATATAATTCAATTACATGTACATACAACCCCCTTTGTAGCATTTATTTCTCGGAGTTCCGAATTTATCGAACTACACAAATAATCACACAAGTCTATTTTGCATTAGAGTGAGCTGTTAACAGCGGCAGGGAGCGCCAGCACCATGACAGCCCCAGTTGTGCTTTTGAGGCTAATAGAATGTTTTCTCCATTTTGCATTTTATATAGTTAAAGATTTTTGACAAGAACAACGATGGACACCTGAGCTTGACAGAGATGGCCAAGTGAGTAGAATACGATTATTGTATCAGTTTCTTAGGAATGATATCCATGTATCATTGTATTACTCCATAGGTAGGGGGTGATTGTCACGTATGTCATTGTTGTAAGAGATGGTTGTCATTGTGTCACTGTCCTTGTCACAAATTGGCAACATGCCACTTTCCTTGGTAAAACATCAAATGTATCACTGTCTTAGGGTCCTCGGTGGTAAAGTATGACATTGAAATATGTCACTGTCAAAGAGGACGATCGGCAATGTGTCACTAACTTGTCAATGTGTCACTTTGCTCGATGTGACTTCTAAACTGTAACAATATAGACATGTCTGTCTGTACGTTCATGTATGTAAATTTGTAGAAAATATTGATTTTTATCCCTTTCCTGATGGTCGATTGAAATGTTTCTATACTTTATAGTTCCAGTTATCACACTTGAGATTTTAAGCATTCCTGTTTTACACTCTTTGATTAAACACAGACTGCTGTCCATCAAACCAGAAGAGAATTTTCTCATCACGTCCAGCAAACTTGCCAAGGTATGTGGAATAATTCCAGTTGCTTTCAATCAGAATGAACTTGCCTTAAAACTACGAAGTCTATTTTGATAATATCAGTGCCCATTTTATTTTCAGCAACCAGTCCCATATCTATCCTTTTCTAAGATTGAAAATGCTTTCTGTCGTGATTAGTTATATGTTTTGTTTTTCTCTATTTGATTCAATTTTGATTTATTTCAAAACATTACAGTTCCAGGATATGGGTGAGAGAGAAAGGCTCAAACTTATGCACCAGATCTTTGACCATTACGACAAGGTAAAAACATTTATTAATGAAATATTTGTTTTTGTAAAGTATACAGGAAGTATACATGAAGTATACATGTACATGAAGTATACATGAAGTATACATGTACATGAAGTATACATGAAGTATACGAGTGTAGTATACATGCACATGTATACTTCACTCATGATTTAACGTGAGAAATACCACTGGCATGTTTCAGTCTGTTTATATATCGAGGAGATAAAGTGAGACTGTTTGTTTTTTCATAAGTATAAACACTGATTTCTACTGAGATCAGTGAAGCAGACGCAAGAAAATCACCAATGGAGCTTTTGAAACACGTCGCCATAAACATGAAGTATACATGTACATGTATACTTCACTCATGATTTAACGTGAGGAATGCCACTGGCATGTTTCAGTCTGTTTATATATTGAGGAGATAAAGTAAGATTGTTTTTTTTTTCATAAGTATAGAACACTGATTTCTACTGAGATCAGTGAAGCAGACGCAAGAAAATCACCAATAAAGCTTTTGAAACACGTTGTCATAAACACCTTCATTTTCAGTAAAAGGTAAAAGTTCAGCAGGTGTGCGATGGATCGTGATTTCATGAGGACTTTCGCTCTGTATTTGCATCACGTCTGTCTGTCCTAATACTGAATCTTAGATTTGAGCCTGGGCCTCGTATAAATGTATTTTGGAAATTGGTGGCATGTTTTACAGGGACAAACAGGATTCCTGGAGGGACCGGAGATCGATCTGTTTGTGAAGGATCTTCACGACTTCGAAGGTGCAAGCGGCGAGGATACTTTCTGCCAGGTCAGTCACTAGATTACGGCCTTTCAGTGTTACTCAGTGTCTGGGTATATATCATGCTCAGGCTTGGAGTTTGTTTTGTAAAAGTTTGTCAAGGATATTTTAGGGGGTCACTTGTGATGCTTCTCCTGGCGATGTACATTAAAGAGAGGAACATAATGTCACGTTCTCTGTTAGGTGTCGTTTTCATTTTAAAAATTCCGTTGAAAAGTTATTGGAAAATAATCAAGGAATGTTTGTGCTAAATGGAAGGTACGTGATTTTGTAGAGTTGTACACAAATTTGATGTCAATTAACTTGATTTCTTTCTATATGATGTGATTGCTATTAATTCCTGTGGAGCATTATTCTGTGCAATCTTACGCTTCTTGGGTGAAATCTAGTCCACACAATATTTATCTTAAAATTCATGTTTTTTTCTTCTTGAGGGGTATTTCGGTAAGTACATTGATGTCAAGTTAATGATATTCCAACACGGAGTGGGAGATGCCCTTGTCCCTCCTAGTCATTCTATGATTTAGGTTTTGCTAATTGACCAAGTGGTTTGGTTTTTACCGGGAAGTCTGTTCTTGATTGCAGGCGGATTCGATGAGAAAAGTCGACATTTTCAAGGAGGATCTGATGAGACATTGTGACGTGGACAAAGACGGCAAACTCAGCAAATCAGAAGTCAGACTGATTCTGGGATTCCATTAGTTCTTGGTGGTGGTTACAAAAATAGAATTCCGATATTTAAAAGCGTTGACTACATATTGTCTCTTTCTTTCTTGAAAGGAGAATTTGGATGAGAATAGCACTTTAAGCTTTCAATACGTGAGAGATTCACTGGCCGAGTTTTAACTTCAGACATTGACATTTTTCGTGGAACAACGGTCCACAGTTCATTGTCGTTTGAATCATAATTCACTGTACGAACGTTTGTAATGATATGACATCCATTTGAAATGAGGTTTATTTGGTGGTCAATGAAAGGAAGGCCTGATATATCTTTAAATTAAAAAAACCTGCTAAATAGCAAGGAAAGATATATATAAATGTCATGAAAGTAAGATTATTTTTACACGCTGTGCCTCAAATTCCCCAGGCCATTTGAAAAATACGCGATGGAAGGTTAGATAACAACAGAAATATCAGAACAGAATTATATTGAGTGCAATATGATATAAAGTGCACAATAAATTGAGTGCAATATTAAAAAGAGACAGAAATCGCTGCAAATTTCAAGTGGAATGTTAACATTTTGAAAGTCTTGAGTTTACGATTGTCGTAGATTTTCGAAACGTTTAGGTGAAAGGGCGCTTCATAAGCCGTTAATTGTATCATCAACATGTCCTTGGCGATGAAGTGGGGATACAAACAGGCAAAAATGACCAAACTATCGGTAATGCAAATTTGCTGGCCAAATACTATCGATTATTGTAATCAATTATTCTGATCAATTATTGTTGTGAATCAGTTGTACCTCTTGTATTGATTATCGTCACTAAGTCTAATTGGTGTGCGGTCTTTTTGATTTCGAACTGTGCCTTGGTCTTGCGATGTAAGATATATTTTACATTTAAGTGAAAGTGGTGCACACACAACTCACTATTAAAAGCAAGGCGAGAATCGTTTTCTTGTAACTCTATTCTCATTGTTCTTTCTTCTTAAAACAATCAACATCAATCTTATTACTTACATTCCTTCTAATAAGACCGAATTCTTGGAGCTAATTTTTGAAAAGCATTGAGTTTAACTTGCATCTTTCAGCATGATCTGTCCAGCAATTTAATAGTAACGTTTATTGGTATGTGTCAATGACTAAATGTGTGTATGTGTGAAAAGTCGCGTGGTATGGGCAAAAACTCTAAACAATTTGAAATAAAAGTTATTCTTGTTCGGTTGAGAATTACCATTGTTACCAAACTCTGACACCTCTTTTTTGGGTGGGGGATGGGGGTGATTTTATTAGAAGGCAGAGCTGTTTTTCTGAATATCACATAGAACACAAACCCTTTGACTTTGCAAAACTTACGGAACCAGTTTTTTTTTTGTAATCAAACCATATTTTTGCACTCATGCCTAATTTTCTTAATTTTATTTTGAAATACAATTTGATCGATAGGTTAGTTAAAGTCGATTGGGAAAGACGATGTTCACTTTGATACTTCACACTTTCTGGTAGCGAGTTTTTGTTCAAGCAGATTATAAGTAAACGTAGATGTTAGTAACTAGCTTAGTGTGAATTTTTTTATGTGATAAATTAATGCAACGCACGTTAATGGATGGGCGTTACAATGCAGCGCAAAGAGTTTTATCAGTCTAATCGATTTTAAAATGTCACTGTACAAATATTTGGAGTTATGTTTATAATTATTCATTTTCTTCGTGTGGGCTTCTATTTCATGATTTCTTCCTACCCATGTTGGCAAATCTTCTGAATGAAAGCTTGCAAATTGTCGTTATCATTGTGAACGCCGGTCTTTCGAAAATTATTGAAACGAACAAGATTTTAATGATAATAATTCGATATGGATTGCACTTTATTTCTGTGCGGCTTTTGTCGTTTTTCAGATTCAAGAATTTTATGTCAATAAAGACCTATTCTCCATCGCTGAATTCGGTGCACAAAGAAATTCAGTCAATGTGCTTGATTCCTTGCTTGTGTGTGACCGTATGTTTAAAATGCATGAAATGCGTTTAGTGTTTATTCAAAGACGCCAGAATGGCTGAAAGATGTCAGTTCGACCAAAAAAAAACAATCCTGCAAAATTTCTAGCCATGATTTTTGAATAGGAAACCAACACTGAATGTGAATCTACCTGAAAGACAAAACCATCGTCTTTTTGTCCACCGTCAGCTCTCAAGAACTAGAGAAACCTGTCGAATATTAACCATGTTGTTCCAAGAGTGTACACAAACACTTATATTCTGTGTCCAGGCCCTGGCTCTGATTAATTATTTCATAACTTACACAACGAACTGATATACTTCTTTTTATGCATACAGAACGTGTCAGTTCTAGGTATCAGTAACGGCTCGGAGAGCAAAACCAAAGATATCATGCGCAGCATCAATATTTTCCAACGTTGAATTTGACTGTACCACGCGTTAAGACTTGAATTACCCTGCAGGCCGTTGCGGAGCATTCTTTTGGGTGGGGTGGGGGATGAGGGTGGGGTTGGGAGTTGGGGGTAAGCTCAAGATATCGTCCCAAAGAGTGCACATCATTTGAACTCAAACTTATACGTGTACCAACACTCATTCAACATGCATAATGTTTAATTGTCTGAATACTACGTTGGTACTTTTCATTTTTATGGTGTAGGCCTAGTTTGAAAAGGGAGAAACGTCATCAGAAGTATATAGGCCAATAAGCTAAATTACATTGCTTAAAGTGTGGACCTCATTCTAATTGGATGGGGGGGGGGCTGTGTACACACCCGGCGCACCCCCCCCCCCCCCCCCCCCCCCCAGAACGAGCGTGTAGAATGCCCAAAACGTCATTGATAACAGACCGCCACTCATCCCCCTTGAAAGAACAATTTGATCAACTCTCAACCGTCGAGATTGAAGAATTCCAGCGCAGAGTTTCCTCTTGTAGGTACGTGGGTCAAATCCTGATTTCGCGGCTGATCATAATCCTCCATGCATAGTGTGTGGTATAACCGTGCCGTTGGGATGCCTGATTTGGGCGATAGGGGCTGTCATTAGTGCACATACCCAGGAACTTAATCTGATAAAGAGACGCTAGTACGCACTCCCTGATGAATGGTGGATGACAAGCGGATACTCTAGATAGAAACATGACGATAGAACAAGGATGGAATCTGATCGAACGGGGGTGGAGAAAGTAGGAGTTTTTGTCACCGTTATTGCCCTATCCCCCCCCCCCCCCGTCTCCCACACACCCACCTGCTAAAGTACCCACCCACCATCTATAAGTGTCTCAAATTTACAAAAAAAATGTACTTAGATTTAAGGATCAGTCGAGAAGCGAGAGAAAGTCTCTTATATGCCACCGATTCGAAGTATTTCTGCGTGTGGGCGAGACATTCGATGTTTCTGAATGATGAGAGACGGTATAGCTCCATATTGACCAGGGGTTCCCATGACATGATTCCTCAGCCAATAGGAGCTTTTTTTTGGCAAAATGGTGGTTCCATGTGACCAACTGCTCTGAATGTGATTGCTATAGAAATGAGATGAAAGAAAGGTGACTCCGAGTCGGAGACCATGATGAGACATTATGTCATTGGATGCTAATATTATAGCCTCTGCTTTGACTATTGGGCTTTGTTATACATGCCCATCCTACAGACTTGAAAGTGAGTACAAACAGGGAGGCAGGACCAGTCATGAAATGAAAAAAACTTTCCTGCTTTATTTGATAACCGGTGGAAAAGATTCATTTCGTAAGATAGCGGCGTCCATACAGTACAGGGACCTACAACTATGAATTCTGTTGGTTGCAAAGGGTGCATACCTATGTTCCCCAATACCTATGTTCCCCAATACCTATGTTCCCCAATACCTATGTTCCCCAATACCAATGTTCCCCAATACCAATGTTCCCAAATACCAATGTTCACAAATACCAATGTTCCCCAACCCTAACCCTAACCCTATCCATCTAAGCCTAACGCTAACGCTAACCCAAACTCTAAGAATTTTTAAGAACATAAATTATGTAGGCCTATTAGGGAACATATAGGTATTGGGGAACATCGGGTGCACCCCGTTGCAAACGAGTGGGGGACGGCTGTAATTATATATTCCACGTATGATAACGTCAGATCGTGTTACTCGCCCAGGGTGAATGAAACATGTATAACTTCCTCCGCTCGGCCAAGAAAATGGCATGTTAATTTGCGAGCGAAGGCTGTTTGGCGTAATAGCCCCGAATATTCGCGAAGAGGTAAAAACTCTTGATTTAATATGACAAACTAGCAGCATGATTTCTGCGCCTGGTATACTATTCCCGATTGGTTTTATCAAAACGCGGAGGTGCGTAATTCAGTCCAAGACAATCTTGATGGAAGAGGTATTAACGCAGTGAAAATGTCAAGACGGTTTAACCCCGAGTTAAAAACAAGCCTTCACCTTCAATGGGCCGCTTTTCACGTGGGATTTGGGAGATAAAAAACTACTTCCACGTTTTTTGTTTGTTAATCCATATTCTGTAGTCCATCTTTCATTCATATACCGGGCTGGGATACCTTTATTTCATAGGGATACTAACGCTCCGTTTCTTCTTATCTGAGCTTTACCGTGCGGCGTGGCTTTCCTACCCTAACTTCTGCAAAACCCGTCTGGAATTCTAGCATTCGATTTTTCCAGCGAGAGGCACCGGGGATACAACTTGTGTTCTGTAATTCTATTTCTTGCAGCCAAGTGACATTATTTACCTCGACAGCCGGAAAATCGAGTTCCTTGCCCCATTCGGGATTGCAGGCTTGGGGAAGATCGTGCCGGCTTCCCCGCCGGCGAGGCAGGTGCTAATCCATTGCTCGTCTGTTCCAGGCGCTATCTAGTCACAAGGTCACCTCCTGAATATCCAAACTCCACAAAAACATGGCTCTTTCTTTAAGATCCACAGTGGCATAAATGCAGCATCGATTTCTACGGCTTTGGCAGCTTAGTCTCCCCCTCTATACCACGAGCATTTTGGCGGAAATGCAGACGCCTCGATGCGGATGTGGCCCGAGGCACGGTGTCAAGACGTCTTGAGCACCGTGTAACTCAATCCAAAGGGCTTGAGAACTCGTCAATAATGAAGTCGGTAATAATGCTTAATAAAAATGTGGAACTTTTTTGCAGTCGAAATCGAAATGCATTCCTCTCATTGTGCGTGTCTCGCGCTTAGGCATTTTACAGTTTTAACGAGCACACCGAACTGAAGTCCACGTATGTTGGGGATAAACCACAAATTCCACCGCAGGCTGCAGACACTTGTCAATAGTCGCCGGATGATCAAAACAGTTTCTGGAGTTGAGTTGCAATGGTTGTTGGGCCCATATTTTCAAAGAGCTGCTAATTTGAACCAGGAAAAGAACTGGGAACCGTTTAAAAGCAGTCTTCATCGAGGTATCTATTCTTGTCGCATTTTTTACATACTGGCGAACAGGCAGCACCGCGCCTTTTCCATAACGGCAAACAGATATACAATACATGTTCGCCAGTATGGAAAAAAACGCGACAATAACGGGTTTGTTGCACGACTATTCTGTTCACAGGGGGAAAAACACGACTGTTCTGGCCCTTGAAACACGACTCGAGTTTCCGTGACATTAATTGAGGAGAATACATAGCTCCACTTGAAATAGTATGAGCATTCCCTTTCTATTAAGAAAACGTCGGTATCGGATTGCATGCATTATCTTACCTTCGTGCATCATGACGTAGAATATATAAGATATGCTGGACAGGCAACTATGGTGCTCGTTCGTTTGCTTTGGGCGGAGAGGAACGATACCCTGTGCGAACGGAGATTGTAAACATGAGAAGCCAAGGGTTCTTTGGCTTACTTTCTGTAGTAAGTTCTGGTCTTCACCGACATATTATTTTGTAATCACTGTATTTAGCGGTCCCTGATTGCAAGGCGCATTGAAGTCGTAAAAGCCGGAAGGGAGAGTTCATGCTAAACAATTTGAGGGGCATGTCAAACTGTCAAGCATTATTTCTTAGATTTTTCTTCTCCAAAGGGGTCATTTATCCACCTTGCATCGTCTACTGCACGTTGCATAGACAATATCTCGGCGAAACAAATTAAAATCTAACACCCCAACAAACCACCCAAAAGGACAGAAAACCGAAATATAACCGAACCGAGCCGAGATAAACCGAACATTCACTTTGCAAGTTCACGTGATTTGTTTCATTCATGTATGAAATTTATGATATTGAATTTAATAATCTTTAATATCAAATACCCAAAAGACTTGAGAAAAGGTATACAGTCCCAGCTAACAAAATTACATTAAAATACCTGTGTTGGCATTTCACACACACCAAAACCCAATCGAATGTCTCTCCGATTGTATTGATTACTGTAGTCTTCATCGCCACAACACCTATCGATCGAGCAGGCAGACCTTGAACTAAATAACGACAGTCAGGAGCGTTCTTTTTCTCTTCAATCATTTTCGCTCGTGTGATCGCCGCGCAACGAACAGCTGTACCCGGCAAAGCGGCGACAAGAAAGCAAACTGATGCCTTTATTCGTCATGGTGACATTTTCAACATCAACGGGTGCATATATGCCTTTCATTTATGAGATGAATTGTTCATTTCATTCCGTCGCACTGGGTAACATAATTAGTACCGGGGAAATCAGTTTCTTACGGGAGGGTTCTCGAAGGTTTTTTGTGATTTGACAAGTGAACATAAAATCTGTTGTCGAACCTACAATGGTCCGCCATCAATAGACAAACATTCTTCGTATTGATCAAGAGGAGTGATAGGTTGACAGCCAGCCCTGGTTTCATGGACTTGCTAATATTGGCCGGAAAATGTATGTGCAAAGCAATAGTCGGCCACACTATAAATCGCATAAAACGTGCGTTGTTATAAAGCTTTGGTTTCACATGTATTAATAGAATGCGTATTTCTGACTTTGCTGAATAAACTGAATAAA